TCTTAATCAGGATATTAATAAGGAACTAGCAGTTTATGAAGCTTTTGGAATAATCCACCAATTTTTTAAAATTAAACAGTATCTAAAGATTTGCATCGAAGCGTTTTTTTTTGATAGTGATTTTAATCACTGTCAGATGTCATTATACTTGATCCATCTTATACACGTCACCACTGTGCCGCGACCCCCCTGTGCTGGGTTTTTTTATATTGAACCTTAGATATTTTCCTTTCATTTAATATAATTTTTTTAAAAATCTAACATTACATCTCCTCACTGAGAGAAAATTTATAATAGGAACTTTTTTAACTTAACTTTTGAAAAATGTATGGATAAATACAAATTTTTTTCCATAAAAACTTTATGTTTACTTTTTTCATTGGACATACATTTTTTTTAAATTGGTTCATTGTCCTTTATATAGGGGACATACATATTTAAAAATAAAAAATAAAACTTTTTCAACTCAACTTTTGAAAATGTTCCGGAAATACTGCGTTCTATAAACATACATGTGTTAAATTAAATCTTACATTATGTACTATAAGTTGGAAAAAAAATTTGAAACCTTTTCTTCTATGGGAAAATAGCCGTCGAATATAACGAAAAATTTAATTAGATGTAAAAATCAATGTTTAACGTGAAATGTTTTAATACTTAAGACTACCTTAACTTTAAATTTTTGAAAAATGAATAAATTAAAATAATTTTTTTTGATATGAAACCTTAGATATTTTTCTTTCATGTGATATAAATTTAGAAAAAATCTGATTCTAAATCTTTCCATAGAGGGATTCAAAAAAGCAATTATTGCACACAAGTTAAGCTTTTTTAATTAAATTTTTTGAAAATGTTCCGGAAATATTGAGATATTTATTTAATCTTCAATCAAAACTTTTATTATATGATTTATTATGAAAAATAAAAATTGAAATATAGATTTTCTTTTTGGTGAAAATGGCTTCTGTATTCAAAAATATGCTATTTTTGTGTTAAAATTCTGGGTTTTGCATTTTATTTTAAAATTTCTTACAAGGGGAATATACTGACTTTTATGAATATTGTTTAATTTAACTGACATTGAATATAATGTTAACTTATTTAAATTTTTTTGTTTTTTATAAGTCGAAAAAGTAGCTTTAAAATTTAAATTAGCTTAAATTTCCAATTTTATCAATCGACGAAAGCGACGAACAGTTGCCAAATCATAACATTTGTGTCTTTCACGCTTAAGATATGAGGTTCAATACGCCTGTGAAAATTAATTTTTGCATTTTTTAAGTTACAAAAAAGTTTTCAAATAATTTGATTTTTATTTCATTTAGATTAAATAACTTCATAAATATTAAGGATGCCATCACTGTAGACTCAACTTGTGAGAAGAAATTTCTCATTCATATTAATACTATTTAACTATGTAGTAAAATAAAAAACCCAGAGAGATTACTTAATTTCGCCAAAAAGACAGGACTCTTCGGTCATCCATAGGAGTAACTTGATGGTCCACCCTTATACAATGATAAGTATAATGTAATAACACTTAATTGAGTAAACCTAATCAAGACAATTCGGTATGAGGTGCGCACAATGGACTAGCAGGTCTGAGTGCATGGGCATTATGTTCACCTTACTAATATCTAAAATTAAAACTAAAAAACGGTAGCACAGTGTAGACGAGGCATAGTTGGGACAAGTATAGACGATAACTGACAGTGATTAAAATCACTATCATAAGAAACGCTTCTATTCAAATCTGTAAGTAGTGTTTAATTTAAAGAAGTTGGTAGATTATTTCAAAAGCAACAATAATTCTTATTCCCTTAATTTTATTCCGATTAATTATTTGATTTATTATTATAATATAATATATTATATTACATTATATTATTTATTCATATTATGAATAAATAATAATTATAGTAATTAAATTTAGTATGAAATTGATATTCAATAATTTATTTATTTATATTATAATTTATATTTATATAAAATTAATTTATTTATAACAAAATTATAAGTTTTCCACGCTGGACTACAAAAAACTTTCATCAGAAACAAAAATATACTTTTCTGAATCAAATTTTTGCGATGTTTTCAAATGTGCAATGAGTCTTTTTCTATCACTTCTAAATTTTAATATTAATAATATTAATAAAAAATAAGTATTTACATATTAAAAAACCCAGCACAGGGGGGTCGCGGCACAGTGGTGACGTGGCATAGTTGGATCAAGTATAATGATATCTGACAGTGATTAAAATCACTATCAAAAAAAAACGCTTCGATGCAAATCTTTAGATAGTGTTTAATTTTAAAAAATT